GCTAGGAAGGCCTACTTGCTTGCTTGCTTGCTTACTACTTGCTCATCCCTCCCCCACCCCCCACCTACCCACGGGCAGCCGGATGCGGCGGCTGTGCGTGGGAGGCGCTTTTGCGCTGGTTGTGCGGCGGCGGCGGCGGCAGCGGCGTGGGCGGGTTCCTGAGTTGTTGTTGCTGCTGCTGCTGCTGCTGCTGCTGCTGCTGCTGCTGCTGCCTGTTTGTCGTTGCGTTGCGTTGTGGGGGCGGCTCCCGCTGGCTCCAAAACATGGGCTTCCCTTGTGTTTGTGCTGCGGTAAGCACCGCGTGCGTCGTCGGCCGTCGCTGCCGCTGCGTCGGCCGTCGCTGCCCTCCACTGACGGCAGCCGGTCAAAGCAGCGGGGCGTGTGTTTTGCGGGGGCAGCTTCTTGCTTGGGGGCTGATGTTGGGGGCGGTTTCCTCCTCAGTCGCTGCTGCCTGCCCGTTGGCGTTGCTCGCTCCCGCTCGGTCAAAAACGGGGGTCCCCTCCGCCGGCCTGCTTTTTGCGGCCGCCAAGCAAGCGGCGGTCAGCCGCGATCCAGCTTCAAGGCGGCTGCCGGCGTTGACTGCGTCGCCTGCTTACTTTTGGTGATTATCTGAACTGCTGTTACCAGATTCAGAGTCTGGGGTGATAACCACTACACTAATGAGCCGCTTGTGTCTGCAGGTCGGATGGACGGCCCCCCAACACCCGACAGGGCTTAGCGGGCGGAGTAACAAATCATCATCGTTAGTTTGCCGCCGCGCGCGCTTTACGGGGGCGCAAAAACCATGCCGCCCCCCCGGGGGTGGAGGCAGGTGCGCGCGCTTGCTTGCTCGCTCGCTGCTGCTGCTGCTGCTGCTGCCTGCTTGTCGTTGCGTTGCGTTGTGGGGGCGGCTCCCGCTGACTCCAAAAAAAAAGGGCTTCATCCCTTCCCCTCCATTGGTAAGCTGCTTGTTTGCGGCCGGCAAGCAGGCGGGGCGTGTGTTTTGCGGGGGCAGCTTCTGGCTTGGGGGCGGGTTTGGGGGCTGCATTTACAGGGACGGCGGCGGGGGCCGGGGCCGCGAACTGTACAAAAAATACAGAAACACAGAAAGCAAAGCGCACACAGGCATGCACACTAGAAAGCACTCCCAGAGACGGCAGGCGACCGCTGCACAGATGCGGGACTCGAGGGGAGAAAGGGGAGAAAGGGGAGAGGTACAAAACGCGCCGCCAAGGTACAAAACGCGCCGCCGCGGCAGCATCCGCCGCAGCAGCAGCCGCAGCAGCAGCGGCCGGTCAAGGCAGCGGCGCGGGCGGGCGCCCCAGGTCCTCTGTCGAGAAGCGCGTGCGGCGGCTGCAGTCGACGTCCCACCCCATGCAGCCGTCGCGCATGCCCACCCACAGGCGCCGGCCCTGGGGGTGGGGAAGCGGGAAGGGGGTGAGAGGCGGGCGTTAGGTGGGCGGCGGGGGGGGGGGTTGGGGGCGCAGCAGCAAGCAGCGTTTTCTGGCCAGCGCCCTTGACCCCGCAGAGGGGGAGGCCGCAATGCCCACAGGGGCTGCGCAGACAACAGCAGACAACAGCCGCAGCAGCAGACGACAGCAGCGGCAGCGGCAGCGGCAGCAGCAGAAAACACCAGACAACTGCAGAAAGCGGCAGACAGCAGCAGCAAGCAGAACGGCGTCGTCGACCGAGGGCGTGAAGGCTAGCAGCAGACAACAGCCGCAGACAACGGCAGCAGACAACAGCAGACAACAACAGAACACAGCACCAATCAAGCGGCGCCGCAGCCGCACCGAGGGCGTGAAGGCGATGCCGCTGATGTCCGAGGGGTCGTCCAGGGGGGCGTCCCCCCCCTCGTCCGGCGGCGGGGGGGGCTGGCAGATGAGGAGGTCGGAGGAGGACCAGCGGCGGGAGTCGATCAGGTGGACCTTCGGGGTTTGTTTTGGAAGGGGGAGGGGGAAGGGGGTGTACTTTAGTTGTTCTTTGTGGTTGGGCTCCTTTCGGTTTCATCTTTTGGTTGGGGTTTGGCAGTTTGACGGTTGTCAGTTTTCCAGGGGGCAGCTGTGGCTTTGTGTGATGACCACTTGAAGCATTATGATGAACGGCCGCGGCATAAAAACGCGGCAATCAAAAACAGCCCCCCCCCCCAAAAACTCAACGCCCCCCCCACCTGGTCCTCGTGTTCGCTGACGGCCAGCAGGTCCACGGGGCCCTTCGCAAACTTGACGCAGCGCGCCGCTGCCTCGGCGCACATCTGGGGGTGGGGGGTGGGTGGGTTTTTTTTGGGGGGGAGGGGAAGGCGTTTTGGGGGGGGCGGTTTGTTGGGGGCGGCGGGTGTTTTCCTGGGGCGGGCCTGGGGGCGGGTGCCGGGGTTTTTTGGGGTAGAGGCGGCAGGCGGCAGGCGGCAGTGCAGTGGGATGGGGTGGGTGCTGTGGCCGCTTGCGAGGGAGCAGAAGGGAGGAAGGGAGTGAGCCATGGGCCCCCTGCCCACTGCGCGCCTCGACTCCTTCCCTTCCTGCTTTGCGGCAGGTTCAAAAAGCCCCCGCGGCTGGCGCGGCTGGCGGGGCACCCCCCAGCAAACGCGGTCTCCCCCCCCCACCTTTGCCACCAGCCGCCCGCTGCGGCGGTCCCACACCGCCAGTGTGCCGTCCTGGTGGGCCGCCGCAAAGGTGTTGCCGTAGTGGGACCTGCGCCCGGTTGGGTTTTTGGTGTTGTTTGGGGGTGGGATCGTTTATCTATTATGGGTGTGAAGGTGGATTGGGGGTGAGATTGCTTATGTTTTGGGGTGAAGGAAGGGGGCGT